CCCGACCCTACTCCTGCTCCCGCTTCGTGCAACTAAGATTCAAATTCTTTTTAAAATTCATAACCAAACAAATTTTCTACACTCAAATCATAATTCCGAAACTCACAAACTCAAAATACAACTCTATTCTCAAATCATAATTCTAAAGCTCTACCAAACGCAACTGGAGTTTTTCAATAAAAGTTCACATTTGGATTAATTGAAATCCGCCTAATTAACTTCTTAAAATCCGAGGCTTTACGACACAAATCTTTTCTAATATTGAAATTTCTCCACTGATATTCCAAAAAGTTCAACATAGAAAATATGACCTATACTTGTTGATCCATCTCTAAGATCCATCTCTAATCACAACATGGTACGATTTGTGTCATTTCATCTATGGATGTACTGTACTCATTGTGCTAGTTGCTACTATATAAGATTTTTTAAAACCAACCCAAAATTTGGGATTGTGTTTACTCAAAACTTAACATTTCATGTGGAATAGATGGATCCTATTGCAAGAAATTAACACAATTAAATTAAATGGTAGTTTTTCCTAATGATAAGGAAACAAACTATGACCTAATTAAAATTTATTGGTAATTGCTTACTTGTGTGACCTCTTCAAAATTTGAATGTCTAAAGTGTGTAACATTACAACAAATGTTTTCACTTGTCTCTTTCCAAACAAAAGAAACTAGTGAACATAACGTTAGATATTGATGGATCATGAACTCCTTTAGAATCCAGCCCGCGTTGACAACCTTTGATAGAGTAGTCCTGCATTTAAAATGTTCTAACTTGCGGTCTCATAAAATTCTTTGTCGTATGGTCCCGACACAAATTTGAGTGCACCTCTCAAAAACTCAGATGCTACATCGAATGAAGGAACACAATTTTGAAGAGCTAGCTTTGCAGTGGGGTTTGTATGGTTCTTGGGAAGCACATGAGATATGTGATTCTTGAGTTTTGATATTTCACTTATTCCCAAGTCGATGGCGACTTTTGTAAGTGCTACATAATCCGGGGCTAATGCGCTTCGAGGATCCAACTTGAAAGTTTCGATGCAAAATGTTTTATTCTTAGACTGGTTTGCAAAATTCATTGACTAGTTTGTATGAAGTAGAATTCAAAGGCATTTGAGATGCATTTGCTAAAGTTGGATGGTGAAAGAAGAGAGAAAAAAAGGGTTAGGAATATGGTTGTGTGACTCAATGAATCTATTGTGGTGTGCTTGATTGGCTTTTGCTCGAATCAATAGTTTTTATTTTTTGTTTTTTCTTATCAAATTATAGAAGCAAAAAAATGTCTATTTTAGAGGTCTTCTCTAGTTGTCAGTCTTGAACCGATGAAAAGAACTATCTGAATATTTCTTGTAATATCTTATTTGGCACGAATTATGAAGCATGGACATGCCAAAATGGAAGCTGTGGCGCTGTCGGATACAGGGACACACCGGGGATACATATGGGACACGCCAGATGGCGTGCCCTTTTAATTTAATTATTTTTTTTGCAAGGGACACGGCGGGGACGTGTGTCCAAATTTGGACGTGCCATGGGCTTAGTTGCAGCTTTGCTCTAGCCTAAGATGGGATCGTAAAGGTGTGAGAGAAAGAGAGAGAAACCTGGTAGCAGCTTTGCTCCAGCTCCAGCCCTAGCCTTCGCCTTCGACATCGAGTGGTAGCAGCTTTGTAGTTGGATTGGATTAGGGCTGAGATTAGAGTTTCGTTTGAGGGCTTCAATCGTCTGAGGCCTTCGCCTTTTCCTTCGCTTGTTGATCTCGCTATCTGAGAGCTTTGTCTCTATTCTCTCTCTCTCTTCAATCGTCTTCGTCTTCATCTTCGTCTTTGTTCTCTCTCTGATCATATATAATATATATAATAAAATTTATAAATTATAATTTTTATCATATTTCATAAAATATCTAATAAATAAAATAAATAAATTAAATCATATATAATAAATAAATTAAATCATATATCATATATAGTAATAATTTTTGTAAATTATTATTTCTTAACTTTTTTACATGTAATAAATAAAATAAATCATCCAATTATTTAAAAGAAATCTAATTAAATCATATATAATAAAAAAATTATAAAATAAAATATCTAATTTTTCTTTTATTTATTTTAACATATTTTATTATTCCTTATTTGTTATATTTTTTTTATTTATAATATATATCAATTAAAAATAAAAAATAAATTAATAATAACACATTATTTAAAAAATATAATAAATAAATAAAAATAAAAATATTTAGAAAAAAATTAAAAAATATAATAAATAAATAAGAATAAAAATATTTAGAAAAAAATTAAAAATTTGCTGTGTCCCCTGCCGTGTCCATGTCCCCATTTTTTAGAAATTGCCTTCATAGGGCACGAATAAAGATAGCAAGTCTACGCATTGACTATATGTTTTCAACGAATTCCCTAAGTTGTCTAGCACAATGATAAAATTGTTGTAAGACCTCTATGAAAAAGGTGTGGTGCTTTGAGACTACTAAATAATTACCTGGTGAAGATTGCTTAACATTGCATAATTTTGTGTCAATGAAGTGAGAGGGGAGGCAATGTGCTTGAGAACAAACAATGATAGTATTGATCAAGGTTGATCCTTCCACTTTTTTTTTTTTTTTTGGGTTATTCCATTTCTTCTTTTTTCATTAAAAGGTGAGGTGGCTTAACAGAGGCTTCGTGATTGTTTTTGATACAACTTTTCATGGTCTATAGAATTACTCAATAAAAAAGAAGACCCAATAACATAATTTTAATACATAATAACATAATTTTAATACATTAGTTAAAAACTTCATCATCACAACTTCCGTAGTAGTGTCATAATTTGTAAGGAGGCTTCCAACTTGGAATTTAAATTTACGTTGTCACCATTGTAATAAGAAAACAAAGTTATCAATAAATTGGGGGTATCAAGGTAGGAACTTGAAGCTCTGATATGTAATTGATGTTAGACAATTTTAGGAATTTAGCCCAATGCTGCCTATGAGTTGAGTTATGTTGGATTTTGGTTTTGGAAAGCTTCTAGGGTTAAGGTTATATTAGGTAGAAAAATGTTTTTAAGGTTTCTACTTTCTATATAGAAAATGTTAATATGGGTTTAATTTTCAAAAATTTTTGCTTGCAAGATTTCTGGAAGTAGCTATTTTTTAGTGCTATGGTATGAATTTATTGACTAGGTGGAGGGGAAAAGGTTGGAAACTTGATGGACTAGGGTTTGGGAGCTAAAAGAGGGCTTGTTCTATGGTTGTGAACACTAACTTGAAAAAGTGACTTGAGTATTTGCTCGAAGGAGGAGAAGAATAACAAGAAGAAGAGGAGGAGCTTCACCCTTGCCAAGGCTAGGAAAATTCATAAACCCATTCTCAAATTCTCCAATTTTGATTCCTCTTGAAAAGAAAGATTACATACATATTTATAAATTGCTGGACTTATCCTATTCCTGACTATAATCCTATAATTAAGAAGTTTAGAAACATTGATCCTCTGGAATATTCTAGACCTAATAAAGACTCTATAGAAGACCTAATAACATGATTTTGCCTATAAGAGAAGACCCATGGGCTATATTCCATGTCTAGCAATTTATGAAATTACCAAAATACCCTTAAAGACCAAAACTAAATAAAAAGACATTAAATCTAGCAAGCAACATTCTAATCTATAAAATACATAAAAATAAGATTAAACTAAACATTATTATAAAATTTAAGGTGTACCACATGTGAAATTTTATATTTGCCATTGTTCTTTTTCCATGCTCGTCATGAGGAGGAGAGGAGCGAGCTAGATTTGGAGTGGATTGTAAACTTGGAACATCTCAAGGGGCGAGTAAGATGGATATTCTGTCAACGAAAAAGCCATGCGGGGATGAGAAGGGTAACTTTTGTGTGTGCTTTGGGGGGTGGGGAGGTTAAAACTTTTGGATATAATAGATTATAGAAGTATTAAGGGGAACTTGTAACTTATTATACAATTAATTTGATTTGCAAAGAGTTGTTGATCTGGTCTCTGAGGTAATTTTTGGCCCTTTCATTTAATAGATGAAACTTCTGTATGCCATGGCACAGATTCATGATTTCATTAGAAATAGGAAGAGAACATCATGATTTAATACTTTGAAAAATTATATATTGTTCATCATATTAGATTTTCTGGCATGCAGTCAACCCTGGAACAAATTTTTTTTTTTTTGTTGTGTGGTTGTTTTGTATTTTGTATTTTTTTAACTTAAATGGAACCAATGTTTTCAAAATCAGACCGGATTGGCCGGTCAACTAGTTGAACTGTTGACTGTTCCAGCTACCGTCCGGATGAACCTCCGAACCAGACTTGTAAGAACCTGTGTTTTATTGAAAAACCGCTTGAACTAGTGGTTAAACCGGTCACCTGTGAAAACCGGAGTTGGTTCATGTCAGCTGGTGTTGGTTCATCTCAAGAATGGAAAGCATTGCCTCTCACCACTAAAGCAACAACCTACTGTTATCCTGTTACTATAATTGTTGATATATATAGTATTTATATAATTCCTTTTGCATTATGAAATTTTCAGAACTCATTACAATGACTTTCTATCCAAAAAAAAAGAAAAAAAAAATTAAAATCTTGAATTAAAAATAAATTGATAATACAAGTACTTTTTTAATAATTTAATAGCTATATTTTATTTATGTATAATTATCAACATATTTTTGAGGTAATTATGACATCGGGGTTTAATTTCGATTGAATCAATAGTTGAATCACATCACCATCCATTGACCCGGTCCCTTTTCCGGTTTGCTCAACCTCTTTAGAACATTACTTGGAGCGGCTTTTATCAAAAATCACTTGTTGAGGCTAGTACATTTTCTCATGGGAGGGTGAAATATATCTTCAACTGTTCATTTATTTGTAGGGATAACATGTATACCATATTTGAGAAGTTAAAGTGCCAATACAGTATTTCCTCAGGAATTAACTCACTCTATGCTTACTCCATTGGCAGATGTAACAATGTTCTCTATCTTCGTGGAGTACCTGAGGATGAAGAAATAGAAGAAGCTGAACAAGACTAGGAAATGAATTTCAGTGGTTGCCTGGTAACATGGCCCTCGAAATACAATTCTGGTTTCTATTTGGAATTAATATAATTTAGCCTTAGTAGTTTTTACGCTGCATCTGTATTATTTCCAGAAGTATTGTTAGTTGTTTTAATGCACATGCCATTTCTGCTACATACATGATGCTGATGCACAATGTTTCTCACTTGAGTTGATGCTATGTTCTGCTAAACTCTATTTTAGGCACTATCTTTGACTGCGCTTTACAATTCATTGAGGGTTACTTGGTTCTCCATGGCACTGAAGCCATTCTGTCACTCGTTGATTTCAAGAAATGGAAGAATCCACATGTTACTATTGTTTGTTGAAATCTGAAGCATTGGAATGAATTAATTATTGTTTTAAGATACCCTAATTAATTAATTATTGGCTTGTATATTTAAAATGGCCAGGGTAACTCTATGGTACGGTTTATGTCAACGTACCTATTCATTCTAGGGAAACACACTTTCATCTTGTCCTCTCTTCTCTAGACATGTGCCTTATTGCAATTGGACCGGCACACAGCTATGTGGTAAGTCGGACTTCTTTCCTAGTGGACATTTATGGCATAACATGCAGGGTGAAGGTGAGTGATTACTTGAGATATTATGCCAATGTTTAGGCAAATGCTATGCTTTGTTTAGGGGCTCCCCTGTCAATGCCAGGCTGCACTTGTTTGGTTTCATGGTGCTGAAATCACATGGACTCCCAAAAGACAACTCAGCATTGTGGCTTTCTAAATGAAAAATGATCCGGACTCCCCCAGGGGTGACCCCCACGACCTCCTTTGGCCTTTGATTGGCCAGGTTTTTTTTTTTTTGGTTTTTCTTCTCTTCCTCCAATCACCAATCCCCACGTGTGTGGAGGGGTGATGGGGGTTGATGATTGAGGGGGTCTCAATCACAGTCCATCCCCATGTTGCCTCAGCAGCATTTCCTTTTTCTTTCTTTTTTTTTTTGTTTTTTTTTAATTATATATTTTTGGGATTGACTTTTTTAATGTTTCTTTCTTTCTTTCTTTTTTTTTAATCTAATGTGAAATTTTTATTAATTTTTTCCAAAAAACTAAAGCTTTACTTGACTAAACAAACCAGGAAAGGTAAAGAATTTTTTTTTAAAAAAAATTCTTTATTGGCCAAAAACAGCTAAAAAAAAAAAAGTTGGCTTTTGTTTTTTGTTTTTTTTTTATCCCTCTTTTAATTCTAACTCTAATTTTAATTTTTTATTTTAATTTTAGATCCTTCTACTCTAGATTGCCTTGAAAAGTAAAATATTTTAACACAAACTAAAAAAATATATACCAAAAGACAAAAAAATTCCAAAAAAAAAAAAATAAGAGAGATTTTTGGAGAATTTTATTATATACATCTCATACCATATGCACCTTTAATTACGTTATTTTTTTCCTTAGTTATGATCATATTTCTTTTTTAGTTATGATATTATTTTGAGATTTTGGTTATGATTTTTTTGTGTTTGGTTATAACTTTTTTTTTAATAGTTATGACTTAGAAAATATAAAATTATATCATTTTATTCTGTAATTATAAGGTGCATATGATAGATAGAAGAATCATGGTGGATTTCTCTTACTATCCAAAGTTGAGGATGGATGTTTTATTAATTTTTCCTAAAATAATTGTGAGAAATAAAACTCTCTGATAATGTCATAATCATTTCTCACCAAAAAAGAAAAAAAAAAAGAAAAGAGATTTGGTGAGAAATTAAAAAAAAAAAAAAAAATTTAAAGAAAACACTGGTTGAGATAATAAAAAGAACTTTAGACTATATGCGCCAAAATATACAATGTATAAAGATTTGTTGAGTTGAATTGATTTGTTTTTTATTTTTATTTATTTATTTTAACTACAAAAAAAAAAAAGAATAAAAAAAAAGGAAAAGGAAAAGACTATTAGGTAAGTGGAGTATGAGCCAACAAAAAACACAGGCAAGCGGAGTAAAAATTTGAGAACAACTTAGGCCTTGTTTGGGGTATTTTAAAAAAATTAAAAAGTCACTATCTTATTTAAGTTATATCATCTTATTTAAGTCATATCATCTTTCTATCACATCACTTTAAACCCAATCTATACCCAACTTATATTTCACAAGAATAAAGATTGGGACCTCCTTTCCCCCCTCTCCTTTTGACCCCCTTTTTTTTTGATTGGTCACTTTTTCTTTTTCTTTTTTTTTTCTCCTCCTCTAATCACCACCCGCCATGTGTGTGTGGGGTGGTGGGTGTTGAAGTTTGAGAGGGTCTAAATCACTGCTGATTTCACAAAAAGTCAAAAAATACACTTATTTAGATCATTCCAAACCACCCTTTAATGTCTTTGTATTAAAATAAATTCAATATGACGATAATATCCCTCCATCTATGCTTGTAATGCTAACATAATGGGAATAAATGTATTTTCAAAATACCAGTGATTAATTTTTTATAAATAAGTTAAGAGGATTCAATATATATTTGAACTGAGAAATCTACTACCATGATGTTTATTAATTAGCTCATTCCTTGATTTTCATGCTGGGATCCTCCCTCTCAAAAAAATCTCTAGTCCTGTCCTGTCCTATCCTATCCTATCTCATATATCCATACTATCTTCTATACTATTATATAAAGTGAATAATTCACTTATATTGTATTTGGTTAGGAGATTTAAAAAGAAAAATAGAAAAGGTTAGTGAAATGTGAATAAAATATATTCATACTATCTTCTATGCTATTATATAAAGTGAATAATTCACTTATACTGTATTTGATTAGGAGATTTAAGAAGGGATTTAAAAAGAAAAATAGAAAAGGGAGGTGAAATGTGAATAAAATATATGTACATTTTACTTAGTTTCACACATCTTTTTCCTTTTTTCTTTTCTTTGTCAAATCCATTTTCAAATCTCCCAACCAAGCATAACATTAGTGTCCAAGGTTTCTCCTTATATCATGTGTTCTTTATTTTTCTATTTAAAATATAAAAAAGAAAAAAAGAAAAAGTTAAGATGAGTAAACTTGAATCTTAGATTTTAAGTTTAATGAAAAGGACTCTCTGAGTTGGGCGTTGAGGCCCAAAACACGAAGGACTAGGTAAAAAGGCCGTAATGGATACTCCGGCCCAGGAGAGCAATGTCACTCCGACCTTAGGGAGACAAAGTTACTTCGGCTCACAAATGATGAAGTTACTTCGGCTAAAGGAATGGCAAAGCTACTCCGGTTCGGTGGCAACTCGGAGTTAGGCCGGTCTCAGGGTTAGTCCGGTCACAGTATGTTCTTTCGAGGCCGGTTTCGGAATTAGTCCGGTCGTGACTTACAACGGTTAGGTCGGTCAGAGCTTGTTACTTGGAAGTTAGATCTAAGTACAGCAAGGTTGAACAAGGCGGCCGAAGTAAGGAGTTAGAGGAGAAGACCGAGCTAAGGATAGTTCGGCCCTCTGTGGCTCGGTATAGCCAATTTTACTTCGGTCAAATGAAAGTTCGGCCATAAAGAAAACCATCCCACTTGGTTTAAGCAGTGGGGGAGGGTGTAAAAGGATAGGCATTATCCTTGGGAGAATGAATCCTAGGAGGACTCTGCATGGAGAAATACAAGTCCTACTAGGATTGTGCCACGGGAAACTTATAAAAGCTCACCAGCATCACCTTGGAGGAGGTAATTGAACACAACCTTTTAGAGAACATAAAACTTTGTCTATTTGTCAAGCTTACTGACTTAGGCATCGGAGAGGTTTCCGGCACACACCCGCCGGCTAGCTCACGTTTGTGTTTTCAGGTGACAAAGCGACGTCGTACGGAGGAGCGTGGACTTGGTCAACAGGATTATACGAGGAGAATTATTTCCTCCCCGTACAAGTAGCATACACTATATGTTAAATATTTTATTTTAATTTTATTTATTTAAATTACACAAGTATCACGACAGAATCATATACTCTAAGTTCTCTTTAATAAACTAATCTTACATTTATGTAATTTAAAAATAGATACATTTATGTAATTTTTAATTTAAAAATGGCAGATTGTGTGATAATAAATGTGTACCACTGGAAAAAAAATATTAAATATATTATAAATGTCAAAGTGATTATGTCAATGCTCATGGTAGGAGCTATCAAGAAATCTACAAAATATTTCATAGGAGTAAAGTGTGCATTGTTGTTGTTTTTGTTTTTTTTTTTTTCCTTCCTCCTAACATGGTTTTGTCTCCATTTTATATTTTAATTAATAATAACGATAAATTACAAATATATCATTTGAGATTTGATTAAAATATGAATTGTCTTTTATAATTTTAAAAATTACATCTTGCCCTTAAAATTTTTAATTTCATAACAAATGACGCATTATAAATTATTAAATCAATTAATAATTTTTAATGATGTCATAAATTTTTTAATGATGTTGAAAATATATTTCAATTAATAGTTTATATAATTTCATTATTGTAAAAGAGAACACTTTCATTCTACTAAATAAGCAATTCTAACATGTGGATATTTATAATTTTTCAAATTAAATGGATAAGTCGTATTTTAAACAAATATTAGGGGTGTATTTAGAATTTATTCTAATAATTGATATAATACTCGAGTGATTGTACTTACACCATTAGTTTACCTCTTTACACATTTCATATGAGATTTTATTTTTTTATATTTTATTTTTATTTTTTAAATGTTACCCAGATGTGAAATTACTTTTAAGAATAAAAGACTAAAATTAAATATATTTATTTCGTTACTCCCATTGCTCTTCAATCCCTACTGCTCTTCTTCCCTTACTAGTTTTTTTCCTCTACTATATATCTCTTTTTAAAAAGTAAAAATTATAGTGTTTTGATCATAGAAGAAAGAAATGGATGAAGAAATGGTTGTGAAGGAGTATAAAAAAAAAGAAGAAGTGAAATTGTGAGTTTTTTTATTTGTTTGGTAAGCTTTTGTTTTATTTTTTAAGAGAGTTCTTCGACTTTTGTTTGATGTGTCAAAATCGAACAAAATAAAATAATTTGAAATCATATTGCCAAACAAAAAATATATGTCCGGTAATCTATTGCCGAATAAAAGATATATTTCCAGTAACCCAAGGCTGAACGTTTTAAATTTGTTCGGTCATTACTTATTACCATGCATTTTTAATTTCATTTTTTTTATATTTATATATTTTATTTTTTTGCGTAGAAGGATTATGTTTCTATTAATGTAGTAATGCAAATATAATCATCTGGCTGTTGAATATCTTGAAGGACATTTATTTGTTGGTGGATTACCTAAGGAGGAAATATCTTTATTAGTTGATATGTCAAAAGGTATGGTGTGACTAAAAGAGATATTGATTACATTGAAACTAAGAATGTCTTTAATATGACAATAATGAAGACAATCTATAGTGCACGCAAAGCGACAAGTGACTGGACAAATTTATTTTATTTCGGCAAGATGACACTAAAATAATCTAATTTGTATAGCAATGTATCACCGAACATACACTTTACAAATGTGATTCAACTAATTTCTTGTTAAAGTAGAGTAAAATTATGAAATCGAACGACAACAAATGACTAGAAAAAAAAAAAGAAGTTTGTCTGATAGTACGACACTGGAGTAATTATAATTTTTTTAGCATTGTATTACGAAAAATTATCAATGTAAAGAGACAAAACTGAAAGGGTTTTGAAATTTTTTTAATTTAAGGTTAGTTTTGATAATATAATAGATGTAATAAAAATAATATTTTTTTTAATGATATAATGAGCTAGAAAGTATAAAAAGATAAAATTAGTGGTAGAAATAGAATCACTTTAATACTCACCTATCATCATACAACAACGTTTTATCGGAAGACTAGATGTATCTCGTCCCTTAGTGGTATTTTGCGAAATTGATAAAAAATTAGTTTTTTTAGATTTTTTTTTGACTTCTTTTGCTAAAAAAACTATTTTTTAGTCAAAAAAAAAAATTTAAAAAATTTAAAAATTAACTTGTTAATAATTTCACAGAATGTCACTTAATTTTCACATTGGAGTTACCGTGCGTTACTAGTTCTACTAGCAATTAATTAGAGAGAGAGAGACAACCAAATTATAAAGACGACTCAGCTTTTTTGGTCTCTTGTCTTTTTCACAAACACATAATCCAGATCGACGGCCGAGATCCTCTCTCTCCCCGAATTCCGGTAACGAACACCGTCCGATCTGTCCACATTGCTCTCTCTCTCTCTCTCTTGTTCCGATCCGATTCTCAGGCGAGAAATCTCGATCTGATCTGGCCACGCAAACAGCTCTTCGCCCAAAATTATTTCAGGTCTCGCACTCTGTTTCTTCGATTTTTTGTATTGAATTTTGTTTGTATTGTATCCAACTTGATGGGAACTTTATGGTTTACACTTTAATTTCAGTCTCAATTAATTTGTGTTGAATTCGATAATAACGGTGTTAGTGTTTAACAAAAGGAGTCGATAATGTTTGAATTTTGAAGAAATGGTTGGATTAGGATCTCTATCTACCGTTTTTTTAAGGGCAAATTACAAACACCCTCGAGGTTACAGATTCCTGGGTTTGAGAAATTACAAATTGCCCCTTCCTGAGGGTCAAATTTTCATAACAAATTAGGAAAAATTAGAGGGAAGTCTGTATAAAAATATGAAAATATAAACCTCAGGGCGGGATGTAATTATTCAAACCTCACGGATTCTTGAGGGGGTGTTTGTAATTTGCCCTTTTTTTTTAATCGTTTCGGTTGACTGGTTGCTAAGAAAATGGAGGAAAGAAACGAAATTAAAGTTTTGAATTTAGGATCTTGGCAGCAGAGAAGAAAATAATTGGATTTTCCATTAATGTTTTTGGACTAATGTGGACATTGATTTTGCATTATATGAAGTTTGTTACTACTTTTTCAATAAAATTTTCTAATTCTTCATCAAACTAAACCAAACACTGGTTTAGTTTGTATATGAATTTGGACTAGTAGTTATTGGCGCAAAACGGATAGCTATATCTATACCCATCATCTTCAAACCCCACTTCTGGCTCCATGCTGAATTCCTTAAATCCTTATGCTCTATTTGGTGCACTGGAATGGGATGAAATGGAATGGTTATTCCTCGGGCTACTCTATGAATGATCATTCCTTTACTATAATAGTGAATGATGATTCTAATTGCAATGCATTTTCAATTATTTTTTTAGTCAACTGAACATGGGAATGGATATTTTGATGTTGATTGTTCTATTCCATTCTAGTGAACCAAACACTACCTTATAGAATGGTATGGTCCAACAATCTTTTTTTTCTTATTTGGATGTGTTTGGGGCTATGCCACTGGCTTTATTGTTATTTCCCATGGCCATGGAATAGTGTTCTTGTGACCTTTTTGGCACCACTTCATAGTTTCATTTGGGTTGATCCATTTATGATTGTTGTACATGACCAACCATTTTGGATTGTTATCTTGTTTTTCTTACATTACCTCTATTTCCTCTCAGATCCATCCATTTCTTATACTAGTGGTAGTGATGTATATGCACTAATAATACAAGTTCATCTGGCAATTAAGATGCTCCAATGCTTCGTCGTTTGTGTCATGTATATGCATTTGAAACATAATTATTCTAACTCAATTTTGTGTGTGTATCTTTTACCTGTGCCCACTTACCAGTTTGCTGGTTTTATTTATCATGTCTTCTTCCATTAGTCAATTTTTGTGTTCAACCATAGATTTATATATTTCTTACTGGTTTCATTTAATTTTTACCTTAATATGATTAGTTTATGGTTTTTTCTGTTACTCTTGCTGCATACATTTGTTAAGCTTTCTGGATTGTCAATATCAGGACCTCTGAAAAACGGGTATGGGAGCTGAAAGTAGCAATTGGCATTTGGAGTTAACCTATGATCACTGGGTAGCACTATCTGTGTCTGGTCCACGACCATCAGCTCGCTACAAGGTTATATTCATTCTGGGGTAGCACTATCCATCCACGACCATCTAAGCTTTGTCTTATATTTTAACACCATTTATCCTTTCTCTGTTTTTACCCCATTGGAGCTTTGGATCAAAATAAGTAGATTAATTGCCTTTTCTTTAAAAGTTAAAACCATTTTGAATCTGATAATCATTATTTTTTTCCTCAGGTGCGATTTTTTTATTTATTTCTGCTATTATTTTTGGGCCAGCAACTTACTATTGCATTTTTGTTCTTGGACTGTAGCATGCAACAGCTGTGGTTGATGAAAAATTATACCTTTCTGGTGGAAGTCGAAATGGTCGGTACCTATCAGATGTTCAGGTACTGTAAATTCCCATATACTTCTACATGTTACAGCTTTTTTTCTCCTGTGATAATTGGCTATCTTTACAGGTGTTCAATCTTAAAAATTTGGCATGGTCTACTCTGAAACTGAGCACTGAATCAAATGCTGATGAAACTAAAGACAGTGTCTCACAGGAAATTCTTCCAGCAACATCTGGCCACAGTATGGTAAGATAATGGTGCAGAATTTTTTCCATTCCTTTTTCTATATAGTTTCATCTGATTGTCATTTGTTCACAAAGTAGTTCTGCTTGATTTTTACTGATCACTTAGCTAATTTGTTTGTCCATAACTTATCCCCAAAAAAATATATTTGTTTATCTGTGTACTTCCTATTGGCAGTTTAAGTGGGGAAACAAACTTCTTCTTGTTGGAGGGCATTCAAAGAATATTTTTGATAGTGTAACAGGTTTGTTTTCTTGAGAGCCATTTCCGTATTGGAGACGAAGCTTAGTTTATCTTCATTTGAACCTTTTTCCTCGTTAACTGACTTCCTGTAGTGAGATTCATTGATCTGGAATCATACCACTGTGGCATTGTGGAGACATCTGGAAAAGTTCCGGTAACTGACTAGATTTCTATTCTTGGACATTGTTTCTACAGTTCAGTTTGTTAGCTGTTGGCTATTTTAGTAGCCTGGAGAATTGGTGCCTGAAGTTATTTTTGTTCACATCATATGAGTAGGGGAATGAAGATTAGCTTATGTGTTTTGGTTGGTTGCTTTTGGTTTATACTCTAGGTAGCTCGTGGGGGGCAGTCTCTAACACTGGTTGGTTCTAGACTGATAATGTTTGGCGGAGAAGACAGGCTGAGGCGGCTGTTGAATGATGTCCATGTTCTTGATCTGGAAACAATGGTTTGGGATGTTTTGGAAACTACGTATGTATCTGTATTACTTTTATAGGCAGCTAATATGGTGCTTTGGTCTAGAGTTCTTTATCACTTTGTTGTGCTTTCATAGGCAGACACCTCCAGCTCCCAGATTTGATCACACAGCTGCAGTGAATGCTGAGCGTTACCTTCTAATTTTTGGAGGCTGTTCCCATTCTATCTTTTTCAACGATGTTCATGTACTGGACTTGCAGACTGTAAGTGTTTATTCTTTTGAGATATCATTTTGTTCATACCAACATGAACTTTTGGCTGTTAAGCATTTAAGTTGAATGTTGACATTTTTCAGTTCTGTTATGATACCTGGATTGAGGATTGCTTTCAACATTACATAGATTCCTATCTTCATTTTGTATGCTAGATAATACACTCGTATCCATTGAAATGGAACATGTACTACTGAGATGTGCTTATGATTTTTACAATGATGGGCCTCAAGTATCTTGCTCATGCTTTCTGATAAAGTTTATGAATTGGACTTTTTCGATAATGATTTATATTTTTTCTGGCTTCACTTAGTAGGCTGCTTATTACTTCCTGCTCTTATTTTCTCTTTGGAAGTTATCACCTTTCAGTTGCAAAGCTGTTATTTAGATCAATTACTGAAATACCTTCTCTCCAACTTGAAATTTAAGGTCTTCTTGATCAAACAAGATATATGAATTATGATATACATCAGTGTAGAGGTCTTACTCTATTTGTGGTGTTGGTTCCAAGGGATGTGGTAGGGTCACTGATCTTGGTGGAAAATTTTTGGTAACATGCAAACAGCGTAGTTCTGTAGGGACACTTGCAAATAGCGTATTTCAGTTCCCAGATCAAACAAGATATATGAATTATGATATACATCAGTGTAGAGGTCTTACTCTATTTGTGGTGTTGGTTCCAAGGGATGTGGTAGGGTCACTGATCTTGGTGGAAAATTTTTGGTAACATGCAAACAGCGTAGTTCTGTAGGGACACTTGCAAATAGCGTGTAGAAATTTAATGTATAAAGAGAAATAAAGAATTGTATTATTGATTCATGTATTGATATATATATTGTAGTGTTTACATTAATTTATGTATTTATTGATTGATGATTGTATAAAGAGAAATAAAGAATTGTATTATTGATTCATGTATTGATATATATATTGTAGTGTTTACATTAATTTATGTATTTATTGATTGATGATTGTATAAAGAGAAATAAAGAATTGTATTATTGATTCATGTATTGATATATATATTGTAGTGTTTACATTAATTTATGTATTTATTGATTGATGATTGTATAAAGAGAAATAAAGAATTGTATTATTGATTCATGTATTGATATATATATTGTAGTGTTTACATTAATTTATGTATTTATTGATTGATGATTGTATAAAGAGAAATAAAGAATTGTATTATTGATTCATGTATTGATATATATATTGTAGTGTTTACATTAATTTATGTATTTATTGATTGATGATTGTATAAAGAGAAATAAAGAATTGTATTATTGATTCATGTATTGATATATATATTGTAGTGTTTACATTAATTTATGTATTTATTGATTGATGATTGTATAAAGAGAAATAAAGAATTGTATTATTGATTCATGTATTGATATATATATTGTAGTGTTTACATTAATTTATGTATTTATTGATTGATGATTGTATAAAGAGAAATAAAGAATTGTATTATTGATTCATGTATTGATATATATATTGTAGTGTTTACATTAATTTATGTATTTATTGATTGATGATTGTATAAAGAGAAATAAAGAATTGTATTATTGATTCATGTATTGATATATATATTGTAGTGTTTACATTAATTTATGTATTTATTGATTGATGATTGTATAAAGAGAAATAAAGAATTGTATTATTGATTCATGTATTGATATATATATTGTAGTGTTTACATTAATTTATGTATATATTGATTGATGATTGTTGTATATATTGTAGTGTTTACATTGATTCCTATATATAGGAGATGTGAAGTGGAGATGGTGGTGGTAGGTGAGGAGTAGGTGAGTGTAGTAGGTGAGTGTGTGGTAGGTGATGGTAAGTGTGTGGTAGGTGATGGTAAATATTTTAACATACAATATGCAATATATGTAAGTGTTCAAGACATTCTTTCCCTTTTTGTTTCAAAAAAAATAAATCTTTTGGGATTTTCTTTTAACAATACGGTGTACCTAAGTAATAATAGAAGCATCAAATAATACCTTAAGGTAAATATGTGACAGTTTTAGGCCATAAATTCTTGTTGAATAAATTTGAAATCATAACTATGTATTATAATGAGCATCTAGTAATTGCACTCTACCTCTTCTTAAGTTTGAGATGCTGACTATTACATTCTTAATTGTAACCTTAAAGTTAGTTGCCCATCAAAATTTATACTGTGATATTCTGTCAAACTGTTTTTCCCATTGTTTTCTTTATGGGTGTCATATCCCTGCACAACTTAAGTAACTTCTACTGTTATCCTTCTCATAACTAGGGGTGTAAAGTCGGCCCATTGGCTTGTGGCCCACCCGAAGATTGCCTTGTGGACTGGCCTGCCCGCGGCTCAAGCCCAATCCGAGACCCTAGGCCTGAGCCTGGGCCATCTGTTTTGAGGCTAGGCCCGGCCTTGCCCGTGAGCCCGGCCCTAGCCCCGCCCACTGACCCAATCAAGGCCCACTCCAAGGCCTGGCCTGCTTGAGGCCTACTATCATTTCTAAGTTATTTTGGTGGGGAAAAAAAATAAAAAAATAAAAAAAAAAATGGTTAGGCCCCGCCTGGCCGAGTACCCCCCGGGCCTGCCCCATTTTTTGCGGGAGCCCGCTAGGCCCGACAACGGGCCAGCCCGAGCCATTTTTACACCCCTCACTGACCCAATCAAGGCCCACTCCAAGGCCTGGCCTGCTTGAGGCCTACTATCATTTCTAAGTTATTTTGGTGGGGAAAAAAAATAAAAAAATTAAAAAAAAAATGGTCAGGCCCCACCTGGCCGAGTACTCCCCGGGCCTGCCCCATTTTTTGCGGGAGCCCGCTAGGCCCGACGGCGGGCCAGCCCGAGCCATTTTTACACCCCTACTCATAACGAAGTGGCACATAGTGGGGGCCAGCCCGAGCCATTTTTACACCCCTACTCATAACGAAGTGGCACATAGTGGTCTATTTACAAATTTGAGCTACTCATTTTACCTGCTCCAAAATTTTTGATCTGATTTTGAAATCTTAGAAAGCTTTGTTAAACAAAAAGGAAATGCTAAAAAACTGACTTTAGAGAGAGAGAGAGAGAGAGAGAGGTTCAAGTTTTGTTATTTGTTTGGACATAATATTGGACCTTAGCCGCCACATGCTGTCATGTCACTGCCTTGCATTACAAGTTAAACCTGTCAAGTCTGTCATCTGGAAAAATAATTGAATTATCTGTAACACGATGTTTGTTACTTTTTTTTTTTTGGGTGTAGTATAAGGCTAGCTGAAGAGTGCATTCTCTTTTTGTTTAATAGATTTTTATTTTGGTCATTTGGTTTTATTTCAGACCTTTCTGCTCTACTTCCATGCCACATGCATGCATATATGATACATTTTAATATAAAATTTATACATGTGCATTGGACGCAGGGACTCAGTGTTTCGTCAGTATTATTAGATGGAGAGAAGATTCTGATTGCATTTGGAGGCTACAATGGAAAATATAACAATGAGGTATCTTTCGTACCTGAGCTTTCTTTTATCCATTTATTTTTTTGAGGTAATACATTCATAATCATGTTCAAAGTTACTTGGATGGGTGAAGCAAAGTTGGTCTGAGGCTCTAGAGTTAAACTTACGTCCTAAGCTCAACTCTCACCATGGACTTGACTTGATAGACCTCCGTCACTACCCCCTTTTTTTGTTTGATTAGCAACAAAAGAAGAATTTTATTAAAATGGAGAAAAAAGAAATACAAAGGAGGACAAGAAGCCCTCAAAAGTGCAAAACCAAAAAATCTACAAATCGTATATGGACTTCCAATCGCTAGAGAAAAAAAAAAGAAAAAAAAAGCGGAATTCCCCTAGATGGGGGAGCAACTGAAGCCCAAAAAGATGCTAGAAATCTGATTTTCTCCCACATTGAAATGCGTTAGTACTTTTGTCCTCGAATATCCTCGCATTCCTTTCCAACCATATGACCCAGAATAGAGCAAAAACTGCACAAAGCCCCAACACCTTTGCCTTTTGTTTAGGCTGAAGAATCGAAAATCAATAGAGAGCATTGAACTACCTGATTCAGGAGCCACCCAAGCAAAAAACTGTTGTCACAAACTTCTAGCCACTGGACAGTGCAAAAAAAGATGATTCAGACTCTCCTTCTCTCCCTTACACATAATGCACCAATGAGGAGAAAGATAGCAATTAGCACTCTTTTGAAAGACCTCATTGGTCAAAATGCTTCCATGAACCCAAGACTTGGTCACTGGGACACTGCTCTTTCTCTACAATTTTTGTCTATAGTCTGTATCTCTCTGTGTTCATGCATATATTCTATATGTTTATATTTGTCTAGGAAAAATGATACAGAACAAAGCCTAACAAATTTACCAAAGAATTGCTGCACTGCGCCGACCTGCGCATAATGTTTTTTTTTTTTTTTTTGATCACCATTGATGAGATTCTGGTACAAATTGACTCGGGTTGCATCTTGCTATACCATGCAAATACGAAATCTTGTCTGTGGCTCTGAGTTGAACAGAATCAACTTCCTACTTGTGGTTGTGGGTAGCATGTTCATCATCAAGACTAACTTTTACAGTTTCTGGCTATGCTTTCTTCTCATCTCTTGAGAATTATATGACTTAGGTCAGATACTTTAACCCCCTCTCTCCCCAAAGAATTTAAAATAAAATTCATGTTGATCCTACTTAAAGAAAGCACTACTTTTGAAGTATTACTAAACCTTTTACATGCTTTGTTTCATTTTTGGTGTTAAAATAAATAATTTCTGCAAGGTTCTTAATTGTACACTGACTTGATGTGTAGCCTGGCGTCCCATTGTTTTCTGTACTTTTTTCACAATAAATAACACATTTGTTTTTTTGAACCTATGCTTCCTAATGGTTATTATTATCCTTGATTTCCAGCATAGTTTATTGTTGAAAAACCCAAGTGAATTGTGATTAGATCAAGATTAATTGTACCAATTCCCAAACAATTTAAAACTAACAATCTAAATTATCTAGCACATACGAAAGTGATTAAATCGACACAAATGATTTTTACGTGGAAAAACCACAATTGGAGCACCTCCAATTGTGATTAAAAAACCACGGGCGAAATGCCACAAATCAATCCACTATGAAAGTAAGAAAGAATACAAATTTACCAAAACAAATTACCCAAACGCAATTTCAACAATCTGTATCTCGTCTCGGAATTGATTAGAATGATGTTGAATCCATAACATCCATTGTCGAGTCAACAACTGCGCACAACATCAAACTCCTTCGAAAACTCCACGTTTGAATCTCTGGATTCCATCGAAGAAGAACACTCTTGTTGAATAAAACAATCACCTTTTTGATGTACACTCTTCAAACCATGAGTTTAATACCCAACCAGACATCAAAGAAAACTAGCAAAATAGCTCCAGAAGAAAACCCTAGAGTCCTCAAAACAGATCTGGAAGCATTAACCCTAAAAACAGACTGATCTCAACTTTTAAAGCAAACAGGGCCGCGATCCCCGCTCAAGCGCAGGACTTGCCGCTTGAGCGGAGTCACTAAAACGCGTGCGATTAAATAGGTCCACGCTTGAGTACTAAAACTCACGCTCGAGCGGAAAAACACGCCTCTCAGTATTTTTATAGACAAGCCAAAACTACTGAGGAGGCACAAACTCCGCTTGAGCGCATCTTTGCCCGCTCAAGCGGGAAGACCAAAAACAATAGGAAAATTACATGCATTTAACTCAAGTTTGTTCGCGGAATTGGCAACAAGGAGAGACCTAACAGTTGCCTTGCCTTATGCATTGATTCACTTTCTTATATTACAACCTAAACTTTAATATGGTTTTTGTGCTTTCCCTGACATTCTAGGTATATGTTATGAGACCCAAACCAAGCGATTCTCCACATCCCAAAATTTTTCAGTCACCAGCAGCTGCGGCAGCCGCCGCCTCTGTTACTGCTGCATATGCCCTAACCACATCTGGGAAGTTAGACTTGTCTGAAACAGAGGATTCAATCATTAAGGTAGTCCAAGCAAATGGCTCTCAACGTGATCTTTCAATTGAAGTCAATACAGTTAGAGAAGAAAAGAAGGTGTTGGAGTCAGCCCTGGAAGAAGTCAGAGCAGAAAATTCAAGTCTCAAGGGAAAGATTGACGAAACTACTAGTACTTATACTGATTTTTTTAAAGTATGCTTAATATTTTAAATTTCTCATGTTGTAACAAATCAATCAATTGTCAAACTATTCATCATTTTTACTCATTTTCTCTAGGAACTTCAGTCAGTTCAAGGTCAACTAGTGGCTGAGAGATCAAGATGTGCTAAACTGGAGGTTTATTTTTTATTCTTCTCGCTTTTCCACTAGTATATTTTTTGTTTGACATTTTCTCTGTGGAGAATGATCTGGGGTTTTCTCTGTTATCGAACTTTCATTTCAAGAATTGTTGAATTTTTCTTTGGTTATGTTGCCTTCAGGCACAGATTGCAGAGCTACAGAAGATGCTGGAGTCATTGCCATCCATAGAAGAAGAGGTACAACTACTCAGGAGACAAAAGTCTGCATTCGAACGTGATATGGAGCTTGCTTCAACTGTTCAGGGGAAGAGTTCTGGTGGTGTTTGGAAGTGGATTGCTGGATAGCTGGGAATGCATGTAAATCACTAAGTTTTAATGTCAGTACCTCAATTGAAATGGATAACACTGAAAAACTAAAAATGTATCAGCAGCTATTGCTATCTTCGAAGTCACAGGATTCTGATCTTTCAGCTCACGCAGAGTTTATGGCTACTAGAAACTTTGGCGTTGTGTTAACAGGCCCACGTGCACAAGAGAAGGGATAATGTTTATCCTCAGAACACCCTTATCATTGCCAGCAAAGTGAGATGACCACACCTTTTACCTCGGTTGACATTTCAATCAAGCGAGCATCCTAGGCTTTACGCTGCTCTGGGTAGTCATGGTAGCCATTACTGTAAGAGGGCCCTACACCGAGCTACACTCAACTCGGCCTTCTTCTTTGTTAACACCTCGGTCCGCCTCAGGACCTAGCTCTGGACAGCGTGACCTAGGCCCTGGACGCGAATCTTTCTGGCTTGAAGCTTAGATGTCTCCAAACCGGGATATCGTAGCTCTCATTCCGGCAAATAGCTCGGCCCAAAGGTCTTAGGATGATGGACTTAACTCCGCCCAATTTATTCACATAAATTACCCTCTCAAGATATTATATTTTTTTATTGTTCATTTATCACTTAATATAAATTTATAAATTTTACTATTTTCACCAATTGCAATGCTCTCTCAAGCACCACCTAACCATGCATTAGACCACCAAATAACTTTTTCTTCACGACACTATTTTTATTCATCTTTGTTAAATTCTTTACCTACTAGTTCATTGAACTCCTTTAGAAACATTCATTTTCTAGTCGTGATCAAAGTTTGAAATTTGGAAAGAAAAATGACAACGATTTATTCAATTTTCTTTTGGTTTTTGAAAATTTACATTAAGTTTTGCATAACTTTTTTTGAGAGATGTCTATTATTGCAGAAGGAAAACTAAAATCCTTAAAAGCCTCTCATAATTTTATTTACCACAGAATATGTTACATGTTAATTTTTGATTTGTCTCAAATTCAATTATGTAAAGTTTAACTTCATCATTGTGAGTGGATTGTAAATTTTAAATTGTAAATGTCTAATATTCCTCGTCATTATAAACTGTTGGTAATAATATTGATTCAAGATGACCTTATAATTATAAAAAATGAGTAAACATATTAAGGAAATATTTAAAAATTAAATTAAAATTGAAACTCTCTCTTGTCTGGACTGTCTCCAGTTCAGATTTAGGACAGTTCGATCCAGTTCAGTCCATTGGGCCTACTTTTGGACCCCTTTTCGATAATCAAAACCGTTACACTGTAAGTTATACCGTCCATTTTTTTTCAAAATACATGAAATCAAATTAAATACTATTTAGTTTGACTATTAATGTTTATTATTCGTTTTTTGAATCATTTTTAAATTTCTGTGTGTGGATCTGTAGTCGTGAATAGTTTCTGCATATGAGTCGGAATAATATATATGTAATTTGAATGGGCCATGGGTCATGCCACATGGGTGCCCAAATCCGGGTCCAATACTCGGTCCAATTTCCACCAGATTAAATTCATGATTTATCAGCACGTTCATAGGATAACTGGGGCACATGTTTCAATTGGTGCCAGACTGTTCAGGTCCATTTGACCCCTTTGATGGTTCATCAAGTCCATAAACACAGCCGGTGCATTGGTAAGCCCAAAAGGCATCACCAGAAACTCATAGCGGCTATACCGCGTACGGAATGCCGTAACATTTCATCATCGAGTGTTCAGAGTGAAGTGCCCAAATCTTAAGGCCGGTCAAAATGGGGTGTCGAAGCCAAGAGATGGTAGAAAAACATGCTTAACTGCTAGGCCATCTCCATGTGAGTCTAACCTATGCATTGAAGGTACTGATGGAGAAAGGGCATCTTAAACTGCTCAATCCTCGACCTCTCCCTAATCCTCTGCCAAAATATCCAAGTGCAGTTTTGACTTGTACAAGCACAACGTCGTCAGCCTAAGTAAGGGCTCTTTTTAGATCGTTGCGATAAACTTTAAATCAATAAAACTCACATGTCTATTACATATCTAACTCACATCATAACTTACCTAAATAATAATAATTAAAAACAAATGGAAATCACAGATAAATTAAATTTTAAAAAAAAGATACTCACAACTCCAACTTAAATAAAAATAAAATAAATTAAAATAAAATAATACCAGCAGAAATGAAACTTAGGCCGTGGTATGATATGCTGTTGGCCAAGGCCAGGGCATGCCATGCTGTTGGACAAGGCCGTGGCGCCTCTGTTTGTTTCTGATGAAAATAGTAAGAGAAACAAAAAAAACCAAAATTTGAAAAAATATTTTGATTTAAAATGATAACACACGAATTTGGTGCATTATTATGTGTAATATTTTTTTTTGTTATTTTTTTTGTAGTTGTATGTATTTATCATTAGTCACGTGTCCGTCATCATCAAAGTTGTCTCGGCTAGAAAACTTAGGTACAAGAGGGGAAGGTCCTGAAATGAGCACACTTGCTCACCCGATCAAAGATCGGGCTATGTTTGGTTTGTATTTGTGAAACAATTTCGTCTCGAACTCGATTCGTTAAATTTTTATTAAGTTCGAACTTAAATTTAAATTCGTTAAAATCTTAATAAATAAATTTAAACGTACTAAATACCTTTTAACCATACTAAAAAGGTATTTAGTCTAATTATGTTAAAAATGTAGGATTGACTATATTTTTAATGTGTTAGTTAATTATATATAATTAATCTAAATGAATACGTTATTCATCACATGTCTTGAATGGAATCATATGCTATGTTCATAGCTGAGCCTATTAAACCTTTCTGGGGTGGCCGGCCAGCATTTCTCCTTGAACCTTTTGACCCCTGGTCGGCCGACCAGGGGGAGTAGCCGACCGACCACCTTAACTGGTCGGCTTGCTTCCTGCTTTTTGTATGAATGGATGTTTATGAGGGAGTGGCCTATTTTTCTATAAATATAAGACCTCCTCTCCCATTTTTAAGGGTTAGAAAAATTGTAACCATTTCATGGTCTTTACATTATTTATTTATTTATTGGTGTAGGAAAAATTGGATCCATAGAATGTTCTCAAAGAGGTCGACTTCGATGATATTAAGACCTTGTTTGGGGTGTACTAATAAGTACACACTTTTTATCTTTTTATCTTTTTTTCATCACATCACCTCTCTACTTTTCTGCACATCTTTTCGTAAAAAGTAAAAAGTATATTTATTTAGATTATCCCAAACAACTCATAAATAGAACAATCCTCCCAATATGAATAGTGTGTGTGTGCGTGTGTGTGCGTGTGTGTGTGTGGCTATATTGGATATACAACAACTTTGGAAGGTTGCTTTCTGAAGTTATATTCGTCTAGCTATAGTTCAAATGCTTAATGGCCAGAGTTGGCTGGCATTAAGATTACAATATTGTAACTTATGACGGCCTCGTCCAAGGATCAAAATTTCATTTTAATATGTTGTTTTGGTTAGCTTAGAAACGGAAATGCTTTGTAAATATTTTGGAAACTCAAGGGAAATGAGGAAATTTTTTTTTTTTTTTTTTTTTTTTTTTTGAAAACGTTTGAAAAAGTTTTGAAACAAAATCTAAACCTTATATAAATGCTAATACATATTCAATAACTAATTTAATTGAACATGTTGATATTTATGAACATTAGAAACTACTGAACAAAAGCTTTAAATGCTTAGTTGAGAAAGAAGTTTGCCATTGTAAAAGAAAAAAATGCAAAATTGTAGTAGTAATAGGGATGAAAAAAAGAGAGAGTACTATGTGGTATAAAGAAAGAAAATAAGTGACATAATTATGCTTCTTTTATCTTCTTTTTTCTATATCTCCTTTCTTGTTTTGCCTTTCCTAATGTTTTGGCGTGTTTTGGTATGTTTTGTTGGAAACATTGGAATTGCATTATTCCACTAATGTTTCATTTTGGTTTCCTAGGAAACATAAGCATTTCAGCCATTTTGATGGAAAACGAAATGGTATTTTGTTCCTTGGCCCTGTCTAACGGACCCATATTTCTCTATTGAGCCTCTTTTTTGGCGCTCGCCTAATGTGTAATGTGTGACTTGGAAGCCACTTGTCGCAGTGCCATGTCTAGTGCTGAGCAGGAAAAAAAAAAAAAATTGTAAACTGGTTCGATCCAGACCAAATCGCACTGTTTGGTTTGGTTTTCTCAATGCATGGTTTGGTCCTAGTTCTTAAAATAGGTGAACCATGCTTCACGGTTCGGTTTGTGATTTTATAGTTATAGTTCCAGTTTGGAACCGAACCAGGCCGTTTAGATATATACATACATATAATTTGTTACTTATGATAGACACTCAAGTATCTTATATATATTCACAAGTTGTTAACCCCTTGTTTACAAGTGTCTTCTTGTATAATAGTAAAATTAGTTCTAAACAATCATTCAAACAATTTTGTTTGTAAAATGAAGATATATTGCTTGATCTTTGAGCAAGTAGTAATTATGTTGTGAATGATCACAAAGTTCATGAAACCATGATTCCAAATTGAACTGCATTTTTCATGATTTGGTTTGGTTCTAAGATTTTCATAGCTTGATTTGGTTTCATATTTTATAGAACTGTAGGCAGTGGTTTGGTCTTGGTTCACTTCAAAATTGAAACCTCCCAAGATTTTCATGGTTCAATTTGGTTTCAAATTTCGTGGAATTTTATGTAGTGGTTTGTTATTGGTTTTCTTCAAAACCAAACCAAACCAAACCAAACCAAACTGAACCATCCTCACGCCTAGCCGCATCCAGGCCCACATATTGTGACACTGCCAGGTAGCACAGTATGACGCCTTGTCAAGGAAAATTAAGGAAAACGAATAGAAAAATGGAAAGTCTTTGTTTGGCTGGTTGAAAAAAAAAGAAGAAGAAGATGAAAATGATAGGTAGTTTTTTAATTTGGTTCTTAGAGAAATAAACAAATAAATTTTTTTTTTTTACTTGACACAAATTCTAAATCCAAACAGAGCGTAAATGTCCTCATAGAAAATTAAAGCACTAAGTTAAGATTCAACGTGACTTACAAAGTGACATTGTAGGTAGACGAAGTGTCCCTTTTCATTTGATGCCCTTGAAAACTATATTTGGTTGTTGCATGTCTCATAGTAAGTAGAACGGAAAGGCGAGTTATGGAATGGATGGAGATAATCTATTTTTTCATTGCCAAGAA